TTCATGGGTTCATGGGTTCATGGGTTCATGGGTTCATGGGTTTGGGGTTTGTTTGTTTTTGTGTCGGAGGTTTTGGGTTCGGGTGTTGGAGGTTTTGGGTTCGGGTGTTGGAGGTTTTGGGTTTGGGTGTTGGAGGTTGAGGTTTCCGAAGGGATGTGTTTGCAAAGTTTTATTGCTCTTAATATTGTATTTCTATGTATTTGTGCATGTGAATTGAGTGAGGTTAGGTTAGGGGTGAAGCATACGGAAGGAGTACCTAACCTAGCCTGAGTGATGCATATGGGTGAAGTCATCAACATGAAGTGCAAGTGGTATGGTAGGGTGGCCTAAAGCGTAGATTTTTGACTCAACATATGAAGAACAGTGTGTTTAGGATTTCTTCAAAAATTCAAAAATTCCATAATGATGAACAAGATGAGGTCAACATCCTTCCTCAGATTTTTGCTTTGTCTACTCCCAAATGATGGTCTCTTCTGGTTGTTCGGCTCCTCTTCCTGTGAAGCTGCTCCGCTTCTACCATGGCCAACGTTCAACACGGGGCCTTCGACTTCTGCAGAAACGCAAGGACTACTACTGAAAAGACCTCCCCAGGAACATCTGGGTCATCGATTGAGTGTACGCAACAACCAACTCGCAGCCGGTGTCGAAGGACGAGGATCTGCAGAACAAAAGCAGGAACGCTACGTTCTTAACGAATTTGGACAGCCGATTGCTGTAATTGCTCTGGCTCCTGCAATAACGAAACCAGGGACGGCCTCATCTTCGAGTAGAACTCCTACGAACCCGCCGAATGTTGATCGTCAAGTTGTAGACGATCCCAACATGATGATCGCATCAGCATCAGCAAGATCCACGTCCACTAGTGCATTTTCGTCAACTAGTAGCAGGAGTTCTCCGCTTTTATCCAAGCATGTTGTCACAATTCCACGACACTGCAAGATCATGTGTGCCGTGGGTGCATTGGTATCGACTAGCGCAATAGCAGCGGTGGGACAACATAGGTGCTACGACAAATTCGCAGCTCCAAATATGTCCCATAATTTCATGACTACGTCTAGTACATCCCCTCATGCACCTGATGCTTTTTTGCCTCGGAGAAGTGTTGAACAACTAGCAAGCATTCGTCCTCCTCCTACAGGCAGCATCGCTCCGCCCCCGCCGGCTGCCGCGTCGGAGTAGCCAACTTTTACAGTCAGTATCCCTCCGTTAACGCCAGAAATAAGTGTGCCACCACTTCTACCATCTACACCAAGCACTCCACTCCCTCCGCCAGCTCCCAAGCTAACCATTGAACCTCCCTTATATTTCAGAAGCCTGCTGGCTGTTTCTGATTGATGCCGACCCCATTGCACACGACTTGGTAAGATGTTTCCAGATGCGCTGTGTGATGCCGACCCCATTGCACACCGATATGCCGTTTGTCTCGACGTCGGTGGTAACGTCGCATTAAGCTTGGAAACTTTTTGACTTGTGGTTGTGATGGAACGTAAGTACTTACTTTTTTTTATTGAACACTACAGTTTCTTTATCGTGAACTACACGAATTCAAATTCTAACTTAGCGATTTCTATCCCTCCGACGAGATCTGTCCTCGAAGTTTTGACAGTGGAGAAACGATACAGACAAAAACGGAGAATCCGACAGCGTACGCGCTCTTTTTCGATGCAAAGAAATGCAGGGTCTTCTTCACTAGCGACACTACTATGTACACTCATTTCGTACCAGTAAACCATCATGGGAGAGTGTTATATGGGAAGTTATGGCGCTCGAAGATGGGTTTAACTTTAATGTAAGTTTTTCCGACAGAGTGTAGCCGACCTTTCATCAATGAAACTACGGGGTGACGCTACTGTGTAGTTGCAATCGCTCAAATTGTCGCCCCCACTATCCTCGTGATAAAGAACTCACCTTATCATGCTTCTCCCCCTCTAATCAAATACGCCGGACGTTACTTCCATGATGATGCTGAGCGTGCGCAATGGCTTGCTGCTGTCCTCAAGTACCGCGTTATGAGGCCAGATTCTCCTTGGGCTCACCTTTCCACAGAAGGCAAAGAGTGGCTGGAGGCGCATGGGGTCGAAGTACCCGACTCGATTCCGACAAAGCCTGGCATCGAATTGATACATGATTATGGGTGTCGTGAAAGAGCTTTCGATAATTTGAATTTTTTTGTTCTACTCTCACATAAGTCATAAGAAGAGTCGTTTCTTGAGTTCTTAGGCCTATGAGATTGTTCTACTCTCTCATAGACATAGGAAGTCTCATAGGAAGTCTAACGACAAAGATTTTAGAAACTCATGATCTAGTACTTCTAGTCCGAGTAGTGTCATTTTCTTTCAGCTTCTACTTCTTCTAATCTCCGTCTTCAGTGTCTCTGTTTCCTGAAGTGCGTACCCTCTAATCCTAAGTAAACGCTTCCAACCACGACTGGTCCGAGCAGATTTTGGATTGCCCATATGAAGCTCTCGTTGGCACAACGAATGGCAGTGGACAGAGAGCCCGACAGAAGTACCTGCAAGTCGCACTGGCAAGAGGATTACCTTGGTGTGGTGATTTCTTTAACGTTGAGCCGCCATGCAAGAAAATGCAGGACGTGGAGGCGAGAGTGGTTGGAGGGAGTCTGAATGAGAATTCTTCGACTTCCGCTGTGCTTTCTTGATCCACCAATATTTAGGCTTCATTTTCGTTTGTTGTACAAGTACAACAATCCCTCCACTAAGCGGGATGAACACATTGTCTAGGTTTGACAAACTTCTACATTGATTTTGATTCCATTGCAGATGGACCGCTACTGACTGCTTGAGAATATCACTGTGATTAGGTACACATATCACCATAGATTCTATGACATATTAGAGCCGCCGAGCAAATAGAGATCCTTCAATCTTCTTTAACGAGCGCATTTTTACTACGTAGTTGTTTCTATACCTCATTTCTCGTGCTAGATTATGATTGGATGGTCAGTCTTGCAAAACTGGAACTACCAATTATCTTAGAGAATGCAGGGTCACAACAAGGAAGAAACACTTGACCCTTACCATGACCATAGAAGTTAGATAGACAAACTCAAACTATGGTATGCGTGCTGGTGCTCTCTCTTCATACAACAGGGACAAAAAAGGGTCAAATTGCTGCACAACATCAACATGTAGACTCTGGCTCTCAATAAACTCTTCTCGTCCTCTCACATAATGCAAACGTGGCGACATTTTCTTTTTGCAAATATAGGACGATGGCGCTTTTTCTAGTAAGAAAGAGTAAGGACGAAAGATATTTAGAAGAGTAAGGACGAAAGTATTTGAGAGTTTCTTTAACTTCAATTCCCGGAGAAGCAAAGAAAAATTGAAGTTAAAGCTACTCTCTACTTCGCTGCATTTTACAAGCACCCAAAAACGGTGAATGAAAAAAGCCTGATCGTCGAAAAATTTTTATCCTACAGCAGTTGTACCAGACCGGTGTTGAGGAACAAAATATATAAGCTCCCGTTGTGAAAAGTCTTCCAAAAATGTAGGTGTGCTGCACAAGGACGATGCGCTCCAAGAAAAATGAAACATTCAGTATCTACTCTAATGCCAAGCAAAATGATTCACGTTTGCTACACTCCTGTAATGAAGTAGTGCAGCGCTTTAAAGCTAAAGGAATAAGATCATGTCCTCTCCATCCGACCAGCCCGCGCCCTGCTCCCTTGCGCGTATTGCGCGGGCAAAATCCCAGACGTGGGAGGGTGAGGGTGTTCCAGGTGATAGCTCTGGAAAAAAAGTTGACGGCTCTGCAGGAGACGCAACTTGCGGTTCTGGGGAAAGCAAAAACGATATCAGCTTTGATCGATGGATGTTTTTCAAGACAGCCTTGTACGAGTCGCTGCCGCCTTACATCAATCTCTTAGCAATCATACCGATTGAACGGTTTGTTGAAAAACGGACAATAAAGCAGACACTAGCGTTTTGTCGAAGCAGACTGTATATTTTCGTCATCTTATGAAAAAAGCATGATAGAGATGGAGGCTTCACCAGCAGGTGTGATGGATGTATGTTGTTGATAAGCAGCTCATTATCAAGATGGTAATACTGATTGCTGCAGATGATGAATCTGTATGCGTGAAAGAATCTGTGTCTAAGTTTCCCTTCCGCTCTGTGCGGCAGCCGTGCGCCACCTGCTTTTCCGTTTCTGGTACAATTACTAGCCATTGCGGGTCCCAATTACATGCTTCCGATTGCATTGTACTTGTGGCTGAGTGACGCTCCAGGTGTCAGAGCAGTGCTGGACTTAGCTGAAATTCTCACTTGGTGGGTGGCGATCGCCATGCGAAATTGTGTGGTAGCCATCAAATACGGGTACCTGGAGAAAAGTGAGTATGAAGACAGGATGTTGCAACTTTTGAGTTCAGTAGGTACATCACATCTGCTGTATCTATAATATGATTCAGTAATTCATCCCATAGATTTGGATTTACCGCACAGGAGTGGGCACAGGAGTACCTATCAACTCCGTGTACGGGAAGAACGAAAACATAGACGGCTCCTTGTTTGTTAGTCTACTGCATTCCCGTTTCCTCTCTTCATTCATTTCCGAATCGAGGTGCCTCCTCCTGTTTCCTCTCTTCATTCATTTCTGAATCGAGGTGCCTCCTCCTGTTTCCTCTCTTCATTCATTTCTGAATCGAGGTGCCTCCTCCTGTTTCCTCTCTTCATTCATTTCTTAATCGAGGCTCAGTACGTCGAGAACTTCAACAATCCGTTTATAGTGCAGCGACGACTCTTTATGGGTGGGTGGGCAACGCCGAATGAGGTCGATACGAACATCCTGAAAGAGGAGCTCGAGATTGCGGTTGCTCTCTGTGACTGCGACTTGCAAGACGCAGGCTTATCCATTTTGCCAGTTGGATTAAGCTCAGAGTTGAAAGAGCATGTACCGGAATGGGCGAGAAGACAGGGTTCCACTTTTACGAGTACTTCCGGAGCTAGTGGAACTTCAACGAAAAATAAGTATGAAATCGCAATAGCAACGAGTGGAGAAGGCGCAAGCAGGACTGTCAATTCAACTCCTGCGGATATGAAGAACAACACAAATAACTACAGGGACGATACTCATCATCCCGCGGAGACCACCAAGAACAACTCAGGAGGCGTCACAGCTTTGGAGTTACTCGCTTTGATAGTTTCGAAGACGATTGGAGACCCACTGCCTGGACATCGGCGTGCCTGGATGCTTGTGGGAATCGTGTTGCCGTTCTTTTAAGATCGAAGTGTTGACAGTACAAATAACTCTAAATAATCTAAAGCCACTTGTTGTGGTGTAAAAAAATGTCATCATCATGTTCTTCGAAACAAACGTGAACGTCCAGGTATTGTGTTACGAACCTGTAATATCCTCTACTTCCTCGTCATGGTCATGTATTCGTAGTCTAATTCTTGCCACCCGTAGTCTAATTCTTGCCACCCGTAGTCCGTTCTCTAGGTCCAGGGTCTCTTCCAGCCTTCGGCGACACAACAGCTGCCAAGATAGCTGTGACTGGCTGCATCTTCGCTCCCGGAATGTATGTGGCTTTGATGGCAGGGTACTCACAAGTCGCGCTATGGACCTATCACCGACGGGCGCAGGCGTTAAATGTCTTAGACACCTTGTGCTCTGAGGGATTACGAGTAAAAGACTTGGTGGGGCCACGAGTTACGAATTCTGAGGACAAGAGTGAGCAAAACACCACGTCAGCATCTTCTACTTTGCAAGGAGAACCAAATACAAATAGTGGAGGTGGGCTCATGCGTCTCGATTTGTCCGATTCTAGCACTATCGTGTCCTTATTGCTCTTACGACGATGCCTTCGAAAGGTCGGAGCGCGCTACAACCGCAGAATGGATGGCTTTTCATTGGCATTTTTCGCCACCGGTGTGATTTTTGTAGGGGCGTTGTGTATGTTTTACCTGGCGGCGTCTCCGGTTGCAAGGGGCGGATCGGATGGTAAGTATAAATGAAGTTCCTGTAATAGTTTGAAATTTATGAGTCCCTTTCTCTACTGGACTTTTTTTCAATGGCTTCTTTGTCCTACAACGCGGTACTTGCATGCTAATCCGTACGTATCAAATATCAATAAACTTTGGTGTACTGACCACTCCCAACATGATCATCAACATCTTCAAGGGTCTTCGTCTACGAAGATCAGTGCATTTGACCATCGCGCTGCCACCGATGCGTTGCTAGTGGTGCTGTCGCTCTATGTGAGTGTCGTTCTCGCCGCCTTAGTTTTGCAGGCAGCAGACTGCAACGAGGCCTACCGATTCCGCAGTGCTCTTCAGAGAGCGTGCTTGACGAGCTGCGCCAGCCTTGTCGATTTGGCAGGGTCATCTGCTGAGGCTGGGCAAACTTGGCGCGAAGCCTTGGCGCATAAAGAATTGTTGCAGACGGCAGATACACTTATGATGAAGATGAAGTTTGATGAATAACTGCTGTGAATTTTTACAGAACTTCAAGTTCAACTTCATAGAGTCCTTACTGGACGACAGAAGCAGACATTACTGGGTCTTAACTTTTCTTTGAATGGATGGAGATCCAAAAATACTAGGAAGTTCTAAACCCCAAGTCGGCTACGAAGAGGAAGTAGTAGATCCCGTGACGGTGCTTGGCCGACCAGCCTCTGTCGTGACTGTCTACGCGACTATCAGTGCTATCTTTACAGGGTTGGCGATCGCTTTCCAGGGTTGGCTCTCGCAAACTAGTGCAGGCTGGAGTTACAGTGACCTCGATGGGGTGTGGAGACCGCCTGGATAACGATAAGGGTTGTTAAGGGTTTTGACTTTTGGTGGGAAGAATTTTTACTTTGATGTCAGCCATTTCTCTGAGATTGATGAGAACGGTTACTGATTGACAGATGATTGTCTTTGTACAGTAGAAGCTCACTGTGGTCATATTTTCGTTTGCCTTTTCCAGGCGAACGATGCCACTCAATGAAGGGAGTTCTGGCAGTCTTCTTTCTAAGAATAACAGGCGGCAATAATTCGGGTTTCTCAACAAAATTGGTTTGAAAAAAATGCGTCAGAACGGTTTTCCCTCGAAAAAATGTGAAAAGACAGTGAGGTGCAGCACGTAAGCTTAATTCACACAAATTGTCCGGTTGGTGCTCACTCTTTCATCAAGCACCAGCATAAACTTTTGAACGAGAAAAACTCAAGATTGATACTAGATAGAAGAAACTTACTTACAGCAAAGATGCACTCAGCTGGAGAGCTTGGGCGCACGCCGTCGGCGCCCAGCTCGACGCGTCGACGGCAATCGATTGCTTTTCCCTCAGTCGTCGTGGACAAGAAAAAGGTTATGATGATAGGATTGGAACTGGTAGAAGCGTAGCGTCTGATTTGAACTTCATGGTCTTCAGAAGTACTTCTGATGTAGTGAATTTAATCGTCCGTTTTTTCTAGCAGAACCACAAGTCCATTCACACTCTCTCGACCCTCTCTAAAAATCTGAACAATTTCCTTGTGCAAGCGGTGCAAGCTGGGGATTTGGACCAGATAACTGCACTCGTTCTCGAAGATGGTGCCGATCTGGAGTCGAAGGACAGGCTGGGCCGACCACTCACTGTCGTGGCGAATCTTTCCTTAAGATTACAATACAATACAATTATAATCTTTTTTTTGTAGTGCGAGCGAGTTCAGATAAGTCAAAACCTACCTGCGTAATTTGCAAGCGAGTTCCGATAAATCAAAACCTACCTGCGTTTTTTCTCGCACAAAGTTCAGTGTAGTACTCGCTCGCACTACAAAAAAAAAATATCAGTGCAGATTGAAATTGAAGTTGAAATGAAGTAGAGCTGTTTAAGTATCCTTGAACCTTGAACCCTCAATTCTCTAATCTGCGAACTTCTCATGCCTCATCAAAAGGATGATTGCATGCGCCTGCTGCAGGAGCTGCCGGGCCGCTTGGCAACACAACTGGAGGGGGACACGTTTTCAGGTTTGAAAATGAATACCAACGCCACAAAGCATAAGCATTGCCATAGGAATCGGACAGTGATATCCACTTTCGCCGAACAAATAGATCGTGGGACGATGAGCACCACACAGATGAAACGGAGTGCGAGTGACTTGGCACAGTAATATTATAAATAGTATTTTACCACACAGATGAAACGGAGTGCGAGTGACTTGGCACAGTAATAAATATTTTTTAGAGTACTCGAAAACTGAAAATAACCGAGTTACTCACTGGAATAAGGGAGGTAGCTTTGACAGGGCTACTCTTCCTTGTTCCGTATCTCGCTTATTTTCAGTAGTCACTCGCTTATTTCAGTTTTTCGAATAGTTCTTATTCTTATTCATTGGCACAGGAGCCAGAGCATCCTTTATCTTTTTTCGATTTATGTCTCGGCGCACCACTGACTCACATGCAGCTGTTCCAGCACTACAACTATGTTTTGTTAACATGCTGTTGCTGAGTGTTAGTGTTAGTCTGAGTACCTCGAATCACAACCCTTCTTCTGGGCACGCGACACTAGAGAGTCGGGACCCTTCTTCTGACACTAAAAAGTCGAGACCTACTTCTCCATCATCATCGGACCCTACCTCCACGTCCACCACTACCTAGTCTAATCACGACTACCACTACCTCTAGGCACGCGACACTGAAGAATCCGGATCTGTTAAAGATACCTCAAGAGCAATACAGGAAAACGCTACCGACGTGGACAAGAGGAGTAGGAGGAGAGCCTACGACGAATGCGCTGTCTAGGGTACTAGATTTACATAAAGCTGCACTAACTTCTGTTGATAATTAACATCCATTCATCTTGGTTTGTTTACAACTACGGGTCTATCTGATTGTTCGAGGTGGTCAGTGCGGGTGCTTTGGGGCTTACAAGTGATACCTAGTTGATGGCGCCAAGATCAGAAGAGGAGTATGACCAATTTTCTTTCCTGAGCCTTTTTTCCGGTTTTGACCTCGTTCCAATATTTTCCTGATGATCCATCTAAGCTGATGCTTCCTTCTAGAAACTGTCCTTATCAAATATCAGAAAAATAAATTGAAATTGTTTTTCACTCACTTCCAGAACCTGTCGTTATCTTTTTTCACTCTCACACCTAGAATTACTTCCACAACAAACAGTCTGGCAACCTCCTGTATTCCGACCCGACGTTGATTCAAGAGAACGCGGGAGCATGGGGACAGCTACTTGGATTATGGTCAGCTTTTATCCCTCTCTCTCTCAGCATCTCGCCACCCTTTTCATCCCATGACAAACAAGGGAAGAGGGGCCGATATTAATGGTGGGGGACCCTAACCCTAACCCTAAAAACCCTAAACCCCTAAACACCCGTGGGGGACCGAGATGAAGAGAGCCGGACTCTAATCGGAAGCCGAGAGGTCGCCTTGTACTACATGTCTAGATCACCCAATTTGTTGCAATTGAATCAGCAAAGGAGGTCAAAATGCTGGCAAGCGCTACAGGACGTGTTGAAGACGAAACCACTGGTCTTCTGGGTCATGCATCAAAGTACTTTTTCTTGTTGTATCTTTCGAAGTCTTTTTACGGTATTTGGTAACCTGAATTTGATCATAAGGGAAAACAAGAAGAGAACCCTTATGATCAAATTCAGGTTACCAAATAAAAGAACCATACAGGGGGTTCCGCGTTCGTTCGAGAAGTTGTTGGCTTTACGTTCTCAAAAAACCGCGTTGTACCTACGTAGCGGCAGCTTCCAGTTCTGACCCAATTTAAGTATGCCTGTATAATTAGAGGCTTACTAATTACTAATTACTAATTGATCTATTTTCAGTAATCACTAATTACTGAAGATTATAGATCATTAGCATTACCTTCTTCAGGTTGCGTCCCCCAACGCTTATAGAAGTCCAGAAATCTTGATGACATTCTTCAGGTTGCGTCCCCCAACGCTTAGAAGTACTCGGTCGAAGTACCTACGGGTCGTCTTTTCAGGGGACTTATTCTCGTATTGACGGATGCCGGATTAACGACAAAGTGGTCTACGTGAAGGACGAAATCATTCCGCCAAAACCGAAGATTGGTGCACCAGGGGGACCTGCTGGAACAGAACAGCCGAGTATTATGACGAAACTCGATTGCTCATACTCACTGTAAAAGTCAATGCATGAGTTATCATCACTAGAGTGGTGAGAGAATCATGCTCGTTCCTCCCTCGACACGTTCTTGCTCAACTACCAGAAAATCAGGGACTTCGACGGACAACTTGTTTACTTTCATGCTCAGTGTAAAAGTCAATGCAGTGTAAAAGTCGATACAGACGGGGACAACAAGTGGCAAAGTGCTACAACTAGTGCTATACGAAGATGATGATAGATTATGCAGCCGCGAGCTTTCATTTGCGCAGACACTAATACCAACATGATCATAGCATCTTAATCTTTTTCTTTTCTAAACTTCATCTTATCGTAGAAGTACAACTAGATGATAGTTAGAGTTGATGTTGCTAAGGCATGCCTCTACTACCTTCACTTGCTTCTAATCTCCGCGGCTCCTCATCCCCAGGAAAGAAGAAGAAGCAAAGTCCAGACGCCGCACCAGAGATTAAGATACCGTCGACTGTGATGTACCTGCTTCTTGACGAGCAACAGAAATGGCAAATTACACCTACAAGAGAGCCAGTATCGAAGATACCGCTGAAACGTGTAGAGCCAACGGTGATCAGGGATTTGGGCAAGGTAAGTAGTCTTTCCCATTGCCCAATATAGTAGTCTTTCTATTCTTACGTCTTCAAAAACAGCAATATCATGTTGATTGTGGCAGTAGACTCTCTGTGTCATGATCATCTTCGTCAATTTTGATTTTCCAAAAACCACCTAGCAGGTAGACAGTAGAGCAATCTTAGATCCGAGTCAGCTGTATGTCGAGCACTATCCATGGGAGTTGCGACAGGGTGGCGGAAAATTCGCCGAAGATCGAAAACTGAAAGTTCTTCCTTTGGGTGAAGGGAAGCACTTTACAGCAAGTCCATTGTTTTATTATGGATAGGAATCAATCATGGGATGGGTGGAGAAAGAATCTATATTCCATGATCATGAAGTAATCCTGTAATCCTTTATTTTTACACAACTACATCCGTGATGATAGACATAGAGTTAGACGAGAAGAGCAAGGAAAACTAGAGGTGCGTTCCGCCGAGATGAAAAGGTTGCGGTCGTATTCCATACATGTGCTTTATCCTCTCTCTCACAAAGCGAAAACGAAATGCAGTTGGAACTTAATTACTACTAGTCTTATAGACTGATACCCTACGGTCGTCACGAAAGGCGACATCAGGGCAACAAACATGACTTCTAACGTTCTTTGACACCGGAGCTGATCCGATGCAGCTATGGCATTTTGAAAGAGATGCTGGGTCCGCTGTGGGTGGTGAATGACAGAACGATACCACAATATGAAGTTTGTCCGGATCTGCGAAAGAAAGATTTAGCTTTAAGGCTTCCCGTTGGCCGCGTAGCTCATCTTGAGAAGCATCTTTGACAACACGTCGCACGGGGGAAGACGTCAAAGATGAGTTTGAAGATGGATCCACTGAAGCTTCAATGAGGTTCACAGAAGAGGATAGCGAAGCGGGTGAGATGCTTGCGTTCAAAAAGTTGGGAGCATTTAGTGGAGCTAAGAGTATTCTCTTTTGCATGACCGCTACAGGTTTGATGAGATATCTTCTTTGCTAGCTCTGCTGGTAGAATACTACATCCACAGGTTTTTTTGTGACAGTCCAGGTCATCGGAATCGAATCATTCAGTATACTGAGTAATATTTATAGGATCTATTTTTACGACTTCTTCAAACACAAAGGAACCCACTTTCATCACAACAGATTTCATATACCTGCGAGCAAACTACTAGCAAAACAAAGAAATCTCTCCTCAACAGATTTCATCTACCTGCGACCGAACCAATATCGCCCTGACGGCCTGCCTCTCGAAGAAACTGTGTGTGAGATGGTATTGTGGGATCCGGTGACAGTCTACCTCCTCTTTTTTAAGGGCGCTTCCCCTATAATAAAGGATGACGACCAAGACCATCTTGAAGGATGAAGAATCTCGAAGCTGTCCACCTCCTAAAGGGAGAGGAAGAGGTATCGAGATGCGTCTCAAAATCGAGAGGGGTTAGGAGCATCAAGATGCGTCTCAAAATCGATAGCCGTTAGGAGCATCAAGATGCGTCTCAACCTTGTACCATGCATAACAAGGTGAGCTCTAACTTTTTCCGCACCGGTTTAGCCGAGGAAGATCAGCTGACGACAGAGGTGCCGTGGCTAGCCGAGTGGACCGAAGAACTTGGAATGATGCTGCCACGAGTAGACCAATGGAAAGGAGGCCGATTTCGTGTCTTCACAAAGTCTTTTCCGAGAGGGACGGCGAGTACTACTGTAGTTATAGATACTAAGAAGATGAACAATTCGACTTGTGAATTTGAACCTGCAGTACTCCATCTACTACGACCACTAGAAGTCTACATTATAGCATAGGTCTTTCTTGTACGACTACGACAATCTATCACATCATCCCTGGAACATCACAACAGAGATCCCCGGCAGTGGTTTGGGCGTTCGGCCACCGCTAATATACGGTCGCACAGGAGCATATGGATACAGCGTGCCACTTAGTCGCGGTCTGTTTTAAGGCTATTCGAAAACTCAAAATATATATTTATTTAACCGAGTTACTGACTGAAATAAGGGAGGTAGCTTAACATCAACAAGGCTACTCTTCCTTCCCATCAGTATCTCGCTCATTCTGGTCAGTTACTTGCTAGTCCATTTTTATCTCCTACTGTGAGTTATAATTATCCTCAGTGAAGTCCCTGTCCCCTTACAGTTTGCTAGGAGGAGCCACTGACTTAAGAATTAAAACTAACGAAACACAAACACTACCTCGTCCTCGTCTAACTCTTAGTAAACTACTCTCAGAAATTAGGAGATCCGGCATTCTGCATAACGGACCCAAGCTATGACCCTGTAGCGATTGCAGCCAGAGACCAAGAACTAGAGGATAATCCGGAGGAGCCGCCAGCATTAGAGTTATGTTCTTAACTATAGTATACGATTATAAGCATCCAGATGCATTAGAGCAGTTCTTATGTTCCCTGTATCTATCGTATAAGTAAGTTGTTGCTAAAACTAAGTAGGTTGAAGTCAGAGTAGAGCAAGTTTAGAAATGCCATTCAGGGTTAGGGTTTAGGGTAGTTATCATGAAGATTGTTCAGGATCCTCCTATGTATGATGAAGATGAACCCCAACAAAATATCTCGGAAATTCAATACACGATGAAGAGGAGCAGAAGACTGCGATGGCTGAATGGCAGGCTCGACAGGTGGAACATCTGCATCCCGGCGACTACCAACTTTTGATGTTGGGCAGCTTCGATGCATTCAACGATTACACGTACCTGCATTATGACGTGCTGGGATGTTGTATCTACTTCCTGATGTGTGGGTAAAATCAAAAGAATTAGAATTGCCATCACCTTCGCTTCACGTGTTGGTAAGAAGTGGGAGTTGAAACAAACCGTTCCAGTACGAAGGCTTCCTCTAATTACAACTTGTATACGAGGATGTAGCGAATACAGAGAGTGGCACCGACGTTTCGCAGTTCACGTTGCAGGTGGCAAAACCAGTAACCGTTTTTCTCTGCTACATGACCGAGAAGATTATGTCATGAAATTGATAATATCTTTCTAGGCTCCTCGTGCTTCTCGCAGGACTTACTGGAACTACAACTCCGATTGTATGATCGATTTCAGTATGCCTCAGCCTGCTCTACTTCTAAGAAAATTCCTGAAGACGTGCGAGTATGGCATGTGACAGAAAGGTGGAAGAGCGATGAACGATTGAAGCCGCCAATCATCCGCAATCGGAAAACAAGACACGATCACCAGGCTGTGCTCATCAAAACGAAAGATTTCCCGATAAGGCTTGGAAGATGCGGTTAGTTGACTGAGTCAGATATGCTATGTAGTAAAAAAATTATGCCCAATCCTCGGCTTAAACTACAGCTGATGTACTGCATTTGCATTAAGTAACATACATTAGTAGCTCATTAGTTAATGCAGCTTAACATTAGTATCTCATGAGTAACTTAACATTGTGATATTCGACTAATCTATCACTTTTAGTTAATGCAGCTGCGATAAACGACATAATATCGATGTACTGCATTTGCATTATGTAGTAACCTGCCCGCACTCCTCTTTGACGAGAAACGAAACCGCGTCAACGTCAGCACTTCTACAAGCTTTTCTTCTAATCCACGCCGGCGAGATCAAGATCAAGAGTAGTCAGGGTGCTCTGCTAGTGGCATTCTTCAAGCCGATTCCAGCTAGAAACGCGGAGGAAGATGATGTGGATTTACGGCTGATAATAGTTCATCTTCACAGATTAGTTACTCGTCTACTCAGTCGGGTAGAAGTCCTTTTTGGAACCTGAGAGTAGAACTCATCGCAGGCTGACTGTATGAATATAGCAGGGCAGTTTATAGCACGCATCGAGTAGCATGGAGTGCATGGAGCGCAGAGCTTTAAGGAGCGCAAGAAGCTCCCCCTTTAGCTCCATGCTACTCCATGTGATCCATGCACTCCATGCCATGCGAGCTGTGAAACCTTATAAATTGCTCTGATATAAAACAACTCATCTGCTTCAGCACAGATTGATTAGTTACTTGCGTCAGTGTCCTTCTTATAAGTTACTTTTGTCAGCTGCAAGACGAGAAGAATTGGAACCTGTTAGAAGTTGTAGAACTCATCTCAGTGGCTGCTCCTGACAGTACTATCAATATAGAAGACCAGATCTTCATGAGTCCTAGCACAATGAGAAGTCCTAGCACCGTCTAACGGATCCGGCGAAACGTGAATTGACTACGCGCCCTACACTCTTCAGCAGCTACGAGAAAGTATACGAGCTCTTTAATCGCCTTAGGGAAGAATTCGGCGATGATGCGGCAAGAAGGTATTCATAACTCTTGACCACTAAACTCGTTGTGGTAGGTTTTAATGAAAATGTGACACCCCAAATGACGCATCGCAGGGACGAGTTATATTCAATTAATTATTTTTTGCAATTTTGCTCAGTAGGGGTCGTCGGACCACTGCCAGCACTACAATTTCGGTAGCTTTTCAAGAAGATGTAGCACACCAATTGAGTCGTGGTTGGAGGCTGTCCAGTTTTTCAGTTTTTCTCTGTTGGGTTTGTCGGACCTGTGCAGAGAACCAGGAAGCCATGAAGATCAGAGGTGAGAGCATCTCTAACCTATCGTACGCACAAACGGCAATCAGTCAGATCACTGTGAAAATCAACAATGCCTGACATGATACGTTCTGTGAATTAACCACACCATTCATGTTCTTGACGACAAACATCTACTTAGCAAGGTATCTGCAGCGTTCGGAAATAACGACCGGTTATCAGCTCTCTGGTCAATGGATATCTCGGCTCGGCAGAGTCAACACTTGGGTCAGGGAGTTGAAATTAAGGTCAGCTTTTAGCCATCTTTCTCAGCATCTCGAAGATGCCCTTTTGTTCCCTTGGATTTTTTCATGGGAAACAAAGGGGCCAACATGAAGAGAGGACCGAGAAAAAAACAAAATGCTGACTCTAATGAAGCTTGAACATATAGAGGAGTTCCGAATACTGGCGAGAGAAGAGGTGGAGCGCGCTTGTGAGAGATTTCCGGAGATACTGAGGGCAACCGGTCCTCATCTAACTGTATGGGTTCTTGGTTGTACAACAACTTAAACTTTGTTATCCCTCTAGGCACGAATTTGATTGTGAATTGATAATAGATTTCTTTGTGCTTACATTGAATGTTTTTCTTCTAGTGCCACCTGTACTAGTACTATACTATAGGTACAAAAATCATCACTCCTTCTACCTCCTAGTAGGAGGTTTGATTATATAACTGAGACCCTCATCTAGCTAGGTAGATGAGTGAATGAATGAATGAATCTACTTCTACTTCCTGAACAGAAATAGATTTTTAAGACAGACATATAGCACCCAGACGGACCCTCGTCTTCTAAAAACAGCTGCTTTTCAAGCCATGGTGCAGGAGGACGTCTTTGGGGGACACAAGCAATTGCGTTCGGCGCTACAGAAGAGCCCACCGCTCTTACAGGTGGAGGCAAGGGTAATCAAGCGAGCAAACCATCTGATCATTAAGACTCTATTTATGTTTGAAGTGTCATCAACACGGACTGTGACTGTGTGTATGGGCAATGGGAGAGCACAAGGCTAGTAGCTGTACCAATCGTCCTTTCATCCCTAGTATACTATATTCCGACTCAATGTTCTTCTTCTAAGACAAAAAAGTATGTGTGTGAGTCTTCCGTTTCCTTTCCATGCCAGAATATGATTAGTTTGAGTCTTCCTTATAGCGACTGCTCTTCTACTGTTTCTAAGACCGAAGACGTGTTTGAAGAGGAGTCGTCAGTGCTATTTGAGGCTCATCCAGACCTCCTGCAATTGGGCGATGCAATCGAGACGCTCTTTAACAAGCTGTATTATGAATGGTTAGAACAAAAAAAAGTGAGTGTGAGTCTGGTAGAATGTGTCTGCATACAACTGTATGAATTATGTGATAGATTTCGATGTTGTAGGTCTCATCTTCGTTTTTAGGCGCTGCTAGTGCTATACCTTAGGCTAGTTTTCGATTTTTGTAGTTGCTTAACGTCAACGGCTCTATACCTTCGTTCTATTTTTCATCTCATGTAGTTGGCTATTCGCAACATAAGTACATGACATTAGAAACCTCATCCGCATTCTCCCTCCGACCCCTACATCAGCTGCTCCCTCTATATTGCCTCCTTTCTCTACATTTTCCCCTTCTCGCCCTGCATCTGCCTCTCCTTCATTCTCCCGCTATGTTTCCGCTCGAGTTCGTTCGCCACCGACTGAAGCAGAGCGTGAAGGAAAGCAACCTGTGGCAGCAGTGGTACAAGATGTTGAGACGCTCAAACGCAGAGCAGGACGAATGTTAAGGCTAGACATTCACTATCTTGTGTGAGGTATCGATCCTGACTGGCGTTCACCTTGATTTAAAGGGGGGAGGAAGCAACTCAACTGGCTCAATCACAGATAGTGAGAGTCTAGCGCTAAAAATGGATTGGTAGGCTACAGCCTTACGAAGACCAAAAAGCGGTGCAGTCACAAACTGGCAAGATGAAATGGTAGGACAGGAGATACAAGGAAAATTTTGCCAACGTTGTGGTCCTTCGCACTACCTAGCAGGTGTAGATATTATGACCGTGGTCGGGCTTTTTCAGAATACAAGCGACTCCATTCTTGAGTTGCATTTCGATATTCAACATCGGACTTACAGCTACAGAGGTCTTTTTTGCTCGTATCTATAATTTCGACTAAAATTAGATGGAGGCTTCGACGAGTCTCTACATAAACAAGGAGGTTTTTAGGACAGCATCAGGACTAATTCGACTTATTCTTACACGCTATCACTATTTTATGATTTTTACTTACTTGATTTCATACAATGTATGCCATGTTAGTGGTGGCGCTCGCGGCCGCAACTTCATCTTGAACAGGTTTATCAGTTTTGCAGACGAAATCACATAAAATGCTCGTAGTTAATGAAACACAGGCTCTGACTGAGACTCTGTCTTGTCACAATTTGATAGCCTTCTGCCAATGTCATTCTCATTATTTTTGTGATGAGTATGAGCTGCTCTGTAAATGTTACTACAGTTGGAGGTTTGTGAGTTGTTCGTTTTAATACATGCACGTCCACCAGGAACGCAAACGACGGGATTTTTGACTTAGAACTTAGCTGAAGAACAAGTGGCAAACTACAAAAGGACCTAAAACGATATCATGCGCCTCTCGCTTTCGCTTACTTCCCTTCGGATTCGTCTTGTCATTTTCATAATGAGTCATTCCATTCTGTATAATATCATGCTAAATATTAGTATGGATCACCACCAAAGGCCATGAGCTTTCTCAACATCCCAGAGAATAGAGTTGGAATAGCGTAAGTACACGGTTTTCGATTGTCATATTGGTTTTTGATCACGATAGAACTAACTGCTAGAAGACCATGATTCACTCTTAAGAAACCCTTGTAGCCACATATACGGAAGATGCAAGACAAGGTCTGCTGATATGGCGTGGGCTCTTCTGATTACCCATTTGCACAGAGATGTGAGTACTAAAACACGCATGTTGTAGTGTCAAAACGCAGATGTGGTTGTTGACGACATTTCCTTGCGAGATCGTGACTGTTAGGAAAAAATCAAAGCACCACCACCACCTTTCGTATGATACACTCAACGTCGTCAGCCTGTTGCAGGAGAAGAAAGGCACCTCTAATATACACTCAACACGCCTTAGGATCGGCTGGCCATCTTCATGGTCCACAATATCTTGGAGAGCTCCCTTCCATTTCCAAATGGGGAAAGCAAGGGGCACCGTGATGTTCTTGATGACTATCTGGATTTTGGAAAGCTCTAAGACTTCTTGAGGCGAGCTTTCCTGTTCAAGGAGTGTTGGCCAAAGAGAGTCCTAGGTAGTGTCCATACGAACCAATGACAAATTTCTCAGCGGCTATGACAAACAGAAAGAGAAGTCGCGTCCAGCAGCATTTCCCCCCCTACAACTAGCTTCTAAACTCTTATCACACCAGTGTAAGCCGCCAGAAGTGAGGGTTTTTACGGCTACCGCTGAAGCATGATCATCACCATTCCTGGCTCCTTTCCTATTTGAAAACGAAGCAAGGATGGCGCCAGGGATGCTGACGCGGCAGCTCTAAGGCTTTCAATTCTGAAGGCGCTTGGCGAATGGCGTTTGAAGCAAGGAGAGAAGACATCTGGCAGAAACAGCGCAAGGCGAATGCAACTCCTCCTGCTCCCGATGGATACGGCCATCACCGAAGAGCGTAGTGGTTTTGAAGATTTTATCGCAGACCCTCGAGGGAGTTTCCGCGGAAGCGTTGCGCGTGGATACACAAGGACCGCAGTTCCGTATCATGCTAATTTTTCGGAAATCTTCCTTGATTAAGGCTCAGGAGCTTGTTAATTCATTTGATTTCTACGATCAGTGATATATTGTCACTACTTCTACTTTTTCCTTCTTAATAGCAGGAAAGTGAGAAGGAATAAGAATAAGTAAAATAAAATATATATACTTGGAGGTCGTCTAACTTAACCTGGCTTTGGAACGCCAGCGCGATTCTCAATACAACTTCTCTTTCCAGCACGAACCTGACCGATACCTGGAGAGGGGCCATGCTCCCGCGACGCCAGCATGTGCTCCCGCGATGTGAGGACCTACTTCAAGACGAAGTTGGACTTGGAGAAAGCCACTATCCTTGTTGAGGAGATCGAGCACACGAATTAGGAAGATATTCGCGTGAATAGAGAGCTGATGCAGACCTTGGTGCGAGAGACTCCGTATGCTGTTAAGGGTAGGCTAAGGGTGCGCCTGTTGCCGTTTGTTTTGCTTCTCTGCTCTCCTTAGGGTCGAGAAAAGCAGAAGACCAAACGGAAAGCAGAAACACCAAAACCCTATTTCTAATGCTGCTCGGGTAGTTCCTCCAGGGGGTCAAGGTCATGGAGTACCAGAACTAGGGAGACTGGCGCCAAACCGACTAGACGCGAGGATGAACAAGAGAAAGCAGCAAATCCGTGAACAAAGAAATGAGACAGGGTCTGTGATCATACTTACTAGACTAGTACTACGGCGGTGCAGAGAGGGCTTGTAATGGGAACACTACAACGTCAAAGTCTGTAGTAATGAGAACGGTACTTGTAGTACATGAGACAGGGTATGACCATGATGTAATTTTTATAGAAGAAATAGAACAGACAGAGCTGTCGGTATGACACGAGAGTTGCTAGAAACCTTAAAGTGATGAAATAAGTATTATAGGCGTTGTTTCTATAATCGATTGCCAAGTGCAATGAATATTCGACTTTCTTTCGACGTTTTGGTCGATGAGTAACGATAAAAGTGTTGAGCTGTTTTGCCTTGGTTATCTTCCAGTCCAAGTGGGAGGTTAATAATGTTCTACGATGATGCCAACAACTACAACTTCTACAGTTTCCTAAAGCTGTGCTATATGGTTCCACAAAGCTAGTTTTCGTTTTTTTTAGTGTAGGGATAGTAATGAATGCAACTACGATTATTTCAGTGTACAAAGATGACCGAGTATGCAGTTTCAAGATTTGTTTAACTTGTTATATTCGTGCCTCTTGAGAGATGGTATTTCTTTTTCTATCTCTCTGTTTTCTTGAAGGTTCAGGTTTTGTATTTCGTGGAGGGTAATACTACTAACTATTTTGGTGGATCTTTGCTGGATACGAAGCCGAAGCGCACCCGCGAAGGAATGCTTGCTATTTTGGAGTCGGTCGGCATTTCTCAGGCCAACTCTCACTGGCTTGCTTTAACTTGAGTGAAGGGTTTAGGGTTGGGTTTAGGGCTGGGTTTAGGGTTTAGGGTCCTAGTTGCCGTCGAGTGAACGACATCGGTTACGAAATGAAGTAAGGGCGATGCTTTCCATTTTACCAGCAAGGAATGCAAGCGACTTCAATGAAAAGAAAGAATACTCACAAGAAGTTTTCCTTCGAGGACTGTTGAGCGACCGAGCGATGACGGAGTGACTGATAGTGACTAGGTGAGTGCACAAAGCACATTGCAATTAAGGACATCATAGGTTTCCAGTAGTTTGTCTGTGTCTCTTTGATATAAACATCTACCCAGTAGTTCTAAAAGTACTATGGCCGTCCGTCCGTGCATGTAGCATGTAGTTTTGAAACGAAGAAGAAAGATGACTCGCACTAGATGGCGATTTCTGATTGAGCTACTGCTGGTCGTGCCAGCGCTTGGACTCCTCATCCAACAAGAGCCACTTCTCGACGCTGTTGCTCTCGCTACGACTCGGCGTGCTGCCTGCAGCTTCTGTGCTTCGCTTATGAGGGCTTTTTGTAGTAGTAGTTGGTTTTGTAATGTTAATATGCTTGTCTGTTGTATCTTTATCTGAATGGTTCTGGTTTTTGGTAACCTGAATTCGATCACAAAGATTCTCCTCTTGTTTTCCCTTATGATCAAAATCAGACTACCGAATACCAGAACAGTACACTATCTTCTAGTTGTATCGCAAGATCGAGGAAGATGCAGGAGAAGATCATCTTCTCAACGAATATTCCTAGTAATAGACTCATCTAAGTACTTCTAACCTGAAGTGCGGGAGCATTGACGTCTGTTACGCCGGACCCTGTGGTCTCGATGCAGAAGCAAAGGTCGAGCGTTTTCGTGTGTCGAATCAGTGTTTGACATGTGATAAGGATGCGGCTGACAGCCAGGGAATAAAGCGCTGTAACGAAGAGTCAGGTCGTTTAAGATGTAATCCATTGTACTCAGAGTTCGAGTTGAATTTGAAAAGATAGAGAGTCGGAATAACAATGAGAAAGAAGAGTTGAGTTGTTTAGAGATCATAGAGCTCCAATCCAAGCAGCTCCCAAGCAACGAGCCTTGCTTTCTGTGCGTCATGGCTCCTCCACTGAAAGCTCCAGTGAGACAAGTACGAGTACCAAGGGAGATTTGCGCACACGTGCAGACAAGGTGCTTGCAGCGGCGGCTAGTGCGAGCTCGGAGGCTGCGGCACTAGAAGCAGAGGCGGCCAAGGAGCTGGAGAAAAACGATTATGGAGGATATTCACATAGGTCATAGGCTGCACGATTGAATGCATATGTACAAACTGAATTTGTTGTATTGGCTCATGGAGTGTTGCGCGTCTTCGTTCTTGTTGTGCAACCTCCTGTACAGCAAGAAGAACTATTTTCTACAGATAAGTACACAATGAAGCAACTCTTCTTTTTAAACCTCCTTGAACGAACTTGTATGACAAGAGGAACTTCTATGTGTAAGTGTAAGGAGCTACAAACACACGACCATGCATCAATAAATATCTAACGCAAGAGTGCTGCTGCTGCAGCAGCTACCACGGGATCTGCGCAGCAAGCAGATGCGTTGATGGTGGAGGCTGGCGCTGATGAACGCAAAGCGGAGAAGACAAAGGGCGCTCTCGATCTCGCAAAGAAAGCTACGGAGACTGTGGCGAAGAGGTAGTAGCTACAACATAGATACTGATGCTTTAACAGAAGCTGGCTTCTGGTTCTGGGAGGAAGTATACTTATATTATAATCATGCTGGTGAGGAGGTACGTATCTATCAATAACTCTCACTCTGTGGTGATAAGTCGTATAGATAAAAATATGAATGAACTGTGATGACACTGGTGCGTGGTCTCTAATCAAGTAGGTCAGGCAGTACCTTTTCACTGAATGGCCTCATACATAGATGCGTAATGCTATAAAAGAGGCAGCATGTTGGCATGACATGAGAATTCCTCTTCGATTCATTGTTATCTATCTCTGCTGCTGGATCTTCTTCAGGCTCCACCAATCATATCGCTCTATGATTTCAGACTCATAGAAATACGATCATACAATGATAGTGATTCAATGCCAGGAAAGAACGAGTTCCCTGAGAGGACGAACAAGAAGACTAGCCAGAGCTCAGACAATGAAAACTTTCATGTTTCAACATCAGGATCATCTGCCCTTAATGTCCTCATGCACGATCATCTGTAATCAGAGTCATTCTATCGTAAGAATACATGATCCACACATCCACACACACACACACACGCCCGCACACATAATTAGAGTAGTTTATAGAACGGATGTAGGATGGACTTGGATGGATCGGATGGGCCCCCTGACTCTTCCGATCCTACTTGAAATGGTGGAAAGTCCATCCGATCCATCCGATCCATCCCATCCCGGACCTGGCACCCCTATAAACTGCTCGAATATGAACAGTACTAGCTGCGTAACTGATGTCTACGTTGGTTTCGTTGTTGTCCCGCGTCTTTCTTGTTCTTCTTCCGCTCCCTACTTGTTCCTGTTCCTACCGTGATCGCGAGGAAGGAATTGAACTTGCGAGTAAGAATTAGCTTTAATACTTGTTAGTTGTCGACGATGCTGGAGGAGGGCAGATGAAGAAACGTCACGCCTTCAAAGATCTGATCAGGCAAGCCCACTATACACAAGAACTAGAACTAGAAGAAGAATTGTAATGTTGAGCCGGGTCTACGTCTAGGTCTGATGCACTTGTCCCAGTGTTCCTCTTCCTGATGCTCTTGCTCCCTGTCCCTGACAAGTTCCCAATCAGGAAGACGCGGCACTATCAGTGTCGATTTCCACTGGTGTTGAACGGTTGGGTTGCGCCAGCCGTTGAGACCACAGGCTCGTGGTGCAAGAGGAAGACGAAACATTGGCAACAGGAAGGAGAAGGACCATGTATTGGGCGGTTGGAATGTCAGGAACGCAAGGCAAGAGTGGTATCAGCATCAGGCAAGCAAGACGGGAGTGGTATCAGCATCAGGCAAGCAAGACGGGAGTGGTATCAGCATCAGGCAAGCAAGACGGGAGTGGTATCAGCATCAGGCAAGCAAGACGGGAGTGGTATCAGCACCACAGGAACGCAAGTCAAGAGTGGTATCAGCATAAGGAAAGCAAGTCACAGGACTGGTATCCGCAAAGCAAGCTAGGAGGATCAGGAAAGCAAGCAAGGACGATTAGGGAAGCAAGCTAGGAGGATCAGCATCAGGAAAGCAAGCAAGGACGATTAGGGAAGCAAGTTATGAGTGTCAGGAAAGCAAGCAACGACGATTTGGGAAGCAAGTTATGAGTGTCAGGAAAGCGAGACACGAGTATCAGGAAAACAAGTAAGGGGGATCAGAATAAAGCGAGACACGAGCATCAGGAAAGCAAGGCAGGACAAGGAGTATCAGGATAGCCTATCACAAGTACTTGTTGGGAAAAGGAAGTAGTGAAAGCGTCAGGAAGGGCTTGCTTGATTGAAGCAATCAGATACAACCGGAAGTGTCAGTTTCTCTCATGAGCCAGGAAGTATCGTGCGTGTGGTGCGGCACATATTTCAGTGAAGGTAACTTCTCGAGTATCAATATTATGCATACTAGAAGGAGGCGTGTTGGTGATAGTGTAGAGTTCAAGTTGCAATTCTTTGCCTCCAGTTGTGCTTGTGCCAGCTTGACCGTGAACTAGTATAGCGACATCTACCATCGAACCTTAATAATACCCGTACCTTCTCTTCCTTCTTTTCCATCTTCATCTACTCCCACAAGGCTATAACTATGTATACGTCACTTGTTGCCACGTCATTACTGTGGTGTAGCAAATCAGTGAATGAATCACTGTCAACATCCTCAAATGGTAATGGCTTCATACAACATTCTTCTTTCTTTAATCATGATTACCGTAGTTGGAATATTATTTGCCTCCTTTCGTCTTTCATCAGGTATCTCACTGCTTACGCGGCATTGCGGGAGAAAGAGCTGGCGGTGGAAAGTGCGGCACGCGAAATGGAGGCAGCAGAGCGAGACCAGAATGCATTACAAGAAGCGTATGAGACTTACGGCGGGCTCTCCATATTTATCTCGTCTTGTTCTACAGTTTTGGGCATGCCAGGCATGTCCTTAGGATATCTCTAGAATCCACGTCGTGGTCTGTGTATTCAGTGAGGAGTGGATTTCCTGTCTAGTTCTATCATAAGAGCTAGGGCCCTCAAGCATCGCATGCACAGGGGATCATGTCTTTGAGGGCAGTAGACTAGATGCCCGCGATGGGGATGTTGAAAAATCTTTCTGGGAGGCGCTCTAAGATACAGCATCTGCAAAGGCTGCCGAAGCATCACAACAAGCAGCCACTCTGAGCGCAGCCATTAAGGCTTGTTACGTCTAGATGTAGATTATATCATTCGAAGCACTGTTCTCTCTGCTCCAAAGATTATTCTTCATGTGGGACTGTGTCCGAATGTAATACGTTGTGGCTCATACGACCGGCACAAGAGTTCTGGTACTAGAGGTAGTAGATGACGAAGACCAGCTGAAGGTCGTCGGAGTCGTTGACTAGTCACGTTGGACCACGTCACGTTGGAGGAGTTGATATTTCATTTATATATACTCATTTATTCTTGGAGACCTACAAGAACTAGTACTACTGATGGTGTCTAATAAGAGCAAGAAGACGGGCTTGGCGCGCGCCCGTGCCGCCAAGATCTTACAAGCGGCAAAGGCAGCACGAGAAATTATGCGAGTAAAAAGGAGAAAAAGAAGGGGTGGTAAAAAGGTGTCAAAAAGGGGTAGCTGGTAATTAACGCATGCACACCCGTAAAACAAGTTTACTGGGTATATCATCTTCCAGACGATGATAGAAACAACGAGAAAGCCTTATAGGAGCATGATCATACCATGAGCATGACTGTATAGTCCATCCTAGTCTAACGAGGACCTGTCTACCTTTGTCGCTGGTAGCGCTACTTGACTTGAGATCAGTAGCATTACTTGAAAATGAAATAGAATCTCAGACCTTCTAATAGGAGCTCTGAGACCGCAACAGTGCAGGCGCAGCACTTAATGGCGAGACTTGAGGATGCCTCGAGCTCTACTGGAGGAGCTTTGTTGGTAACATCAAATGTTGGTGCTGCATCCACGTCGTCGACGGGTTCAGCTTCTGCATCCTCGAACGATGACACGTCAGATGACATGGTGGACGCGCTGGGAAGACTGCAGAGTTGAGATTCAAGTTTGTTTGATAAGGATCATAGCAATTGTGAAAGTTGAAGTCTGCTCAATACATCGTAACACCAACGGTTGAAGAGATTCAAATTGATTACAGAATCAAACAGATTGATATCAATAGGAACTACTACTTCTTCTAGTGAAGAATTCTGTTCGATGACAATTGCAACACCAACTGGTTCTAGAACAGATGGTTTCACAGAATAGATCTGGTGGTCGTGCTAGTTCTATTTTCCACGCTAGCAGAAGTGCAACCAGAAGAACTTGGGGTCCTCGTACTTCTTGTTTGCATAGGTTTGTAGTATGTCGGTAGTACGACCATAACTTTGTTTTTTCCTGTTCATCCATAGATCCTGTTTTTTCCTGTTGGAGAAAGAAGAACGTAACACAAGTCTCGACGCAAAATCCATAGAGATCGTCCAATGTTTCATCCAGGCAGTGTAGTCGATCTTTGTATTGGAAAATTGATTCACGGCCTGGACGCCTCAAAAACACAGTCTCACACAGGCTGTTGTAGAAATGCGACTAGGGCAGGTCCACAACCTTGTCTGCTCTCGGTGAGTCCTGTGCAGAACCAGGCGCGGGGGACCTCCTAAGAGGCTTCTCGCTGCTATTGAAGAATCAATTTGTCGGAACATGATAAAGATCGAAGAGTTCTAACGTTCTACTTGAGCCAAAACAGATCAGTACCTAGGTAGAGGCTCCTCTGAGCAATGATCTCAGTCCAGGTGGTCGTACTATGATGAGATCACGAAAGGACCAGCGTGACTGTCTGCATTGGCAAGTATCTACAACTCAGTTCTTGTATGCTCGAGATCCTTGTGAAAATGAAAGAGGTGCTCCTGCTCAATGGATTTGAATCTTTGAAACGGACCACAGATGGCACGGACCACGAAGCAATTCTTCTTGTCGTTATCAGCAGACAAGTACTCAAGTAGTTGTCGAATAAGGAACCACAACCAAGTACTCTACGAAACCACTATACGGAGACAGCCACGCTGGTCGTTCGCGTTTGTGTTAATCAATTGGTGTGCGTGAACTGGGTAGACACCACGCAACAAGAATCTTCTTTACACCAGGACTACGAAATTAGAGAACAAGAGATCAAATTTGGAGAGGAGCACGACGAATCGAACTTGAGTTAAGTTATTATGCATTTATCATCTTTCTCTTCTCTCTCAATGATAAACCCTCACTCTCTCTCTATCTCTCCTGACTTTTTCTGGCACTTATCTCACGCTTACCACGCCACTACATCTTCAACAGGAAAAGAGAAAAGGAAAGCGATTTCCAAACCGCTCTCGGATTTTACATCCAAACCCCACTCTCGCATTTCGTATCCAAACACCACGTTCGGATAGATCAAGCTCCACTTTTTTTTTCAAAGAATCCTTCCTGTTTCGATCTTGAAGCAAATAGGATAAAATTTTCGTTTTGTTTTTTGACACAACCCAATCTACTTATCGTTTTGACACGAATTTTTTTTTGTCTCGAAGAACATAGAGATAGACCCAAGAGATATTGTTCGTCTTGTTGCATCTCACTGCTCTAGAAAATACATCATCTTTTTCAACTAGTAGATCGAAACAACTAGAAAAGAAAAGAACTCAACAGATTCTTCAATCAGTAGAATCACCACTCTCAAGCAACAAGATGGCTCCCCGTGCATCTTCCAAAAAAAAGATGAACTCCAAGATGAAAAACTACTCCAAGAAGATGAAGAAGCAAGGGAACAACAAGATGCTGAGCAAGAAGGCCCTCGCGTTGATTCTGGGAGGTGCTGCTTCGGGTGTCGCTGCTGATATCCTTGACGAGATCGTCAAGGATGCCATCCTTCCGACTCGTGCCCACGTTGATTATGGTTAACAATAGCTTCCCGTAGCGAGGTTGTCTCCCGTAGTAATGTTGCCAACAGCATAAAAATGCTAGGAGGTTGTCTCTCGTAGTAATGTTATTTAACAATACGATAATAAATGCTAGGTTGTACATCTACGTACAGCAGTAGAACAAAAGGATACCTGAGCAAGAAGAGCTACCTTGAGGATTGACCAGTTCTACGTTGAAAAATGTATAGAAATCGCATCAATTCTTGTATAACAGCAAGAAGGACCTCTAAGTTGAAGCGCATGCTGAGAAGCTTGAGACGATGGGAATGGATGTGAACCAATACCTGAGTGCAGCCAAGAAGGTGATTGACACTTTTGCTAAGAATGAAGTGGAAAAGGCCCTCTCAGAGGGACGCGTGGATGGTGGTGAGGGAAAAGAATTGAGAATGCCGCCCAAGCAGAAGTACACTCATAAGCATCCCAATGAGACCTTGGATGCGGAAGAAACAGCAGCCGAAGATTGGACTAAGAGGCTTGATGGTCTCCTTCCGAAAGTGGAACTGCAGAAGGTGAACGTTGAAGGCAAGACACGCTTTATGGTCTTGAACAAATCTTCTATAATTCTCCTCAATTTATCTTCTCGCTACTGTAACCTTTTCATGTCTCTCCTACTTAGGTCGGCTCCACCACCAGTAATATAATGATTGAAATTGATGTAGTAGCAAATACAAATAGCTTTGATTAGTCAGCACTCCGCATTTTCTTCTTCTAATGCGTTCCATCTTGCAACTTCGTGGCGTGACCCGCTTTTGTACAAGGATGTTCCGGAAAGCGAGACTTTCAAAGGTTGGAGTTTCAGTGAAAAGGATGCCAAGTTCCGTTTCGCGGCCTTTGAAAACGAGGAGACTGCTGTCCGAGTGGATGAAGCTGCGAAGAACCCAGAGCTTCGACCACAGCTGGACAGTGCGTACTGGTATCCTTCGGTACCGGCTGGTCCTCCACTAAGCGGGCCACACAACGAGGAGATCTATATTCCCTCGGCACAACTTGAACAAGAGAGCGCGCCGGTGACCCCGTGTCTCTTGGTCGAGTACGAGATGCGTTCCGTTGAAGAATATAACGAGGACTTGGCGAAGGACGAGATGCAGTTAAGGCTACCAAGCGAGCATCCTCAACATCATCCCTGCCCCATTTTCAAGAGGGAAATGGATCCAGGGATGGCCTCAGGGATGCACGTTGGTAGCTCTAATGCAGGTCGACGACGGCGCAGAGGCTCAAGTGGTTCAAGATTTATTCTCTCCGACAGAAGCAACAGCAAAATTTCGCCTGGGAAAGTCTTTGACTTCTGATGACTCAACTATGGCCACTCTCAGTTATTTACCACCATCCTCAACGGTGGAAATCTTTTGCAGAGTAATTATACTGTACACTGGACTTCTAGGTGTAATTGATTTTATCTTCACAACATTTACATAAAATATCTTCTTGATGTCTTTCTGTTTTTATCAACTAAAGCTCCCCGTTGAGCAGAAGCAGTAAACTGAGCTGAAGCTGGTCACGGTAAATTTCAAAGCACATGGGAGAACATCTTCAAGAAAAGTCAACACAAAAATCTAGGATCTTCTAAGAAGAAGTTAGGATCTGATCTTCGTCTTCTTCTTCGTCTACTACAGAGAAAGGTCTTTGCCAATCCAACCCTGGGCTTACTCGTTGAAAGACAATAACCCACCCATCTCCCCCTCGGCTTTCCTTGTGCAATAAAGTTTCACTTACCCCAAGAGTGGGTAAACCACTACTACTACTACTAGTCATCTTCTTCCACTTCTAATTTCGAAGATGTTTGGAATTTCGTGAAGCGTTTGGTGGAGGGCCGGGCGAACCCTGGAACGGCGCTATCCATTGCTCCCCAACCTAAAATGCGATCACTCAACGCAAGCTTGCCTCTCAATGGTGCGGACCGGAATCAGAGACAAATGGGAGTGCTGGCGCACCCGAACCCTTTTGAGCTCGCAAAGGTGATCCCTGAAGCTTTCCCAAGCATCTCGATGGTCCACAGGGTGAAGCGCATTTTCCCGGTACTCGGAGATGATGGCAAGCCGGTTTGCGACTTCGCAGGCGATGCTGCCTTGAAGCACGAAGTGGAGACCTCGCCTGGTTTTGGTTCTATGTTCAATCAGTACGATGCAAACACTGGTCGCGGCAAAGTCGACGCGCAGGTACTGGCAGCGCATGCTACAGGCGTAGAGAACATCAAGAACATCTTGGAATTTGGCTTCAAGCGGCCCACGAAGACCAACACGTACAACATTATGCGAACAGCATCAAGGTTGTAAATGTATTCTAAGAGAGAAGTTAGTAGATGTAGAATTATCAGAGTCTGAAGAAGAACAACAAAAACTCAGAAGTTGAATTTCATTGTAACTTTTACTTCTATGGTGCAGGTCTATGTCAATATTATCATCGAAGTTAATGCCTGTGATATATGGCATAACACTATGCAAAAAGCGAGCATAGAAAAGTGCTTTTTTAGCCAAAAAACGCACATAAAATTCAGGAATCAGTTGGGAAGTAGTCGTCTCAATATGAACAAGTTCACTCTGAGACGAATAACGTTACAAAGAAAAAGACGCTTTTTATTGTAACATCAACCGGATCTGCAATATTGAGGGGAAAGCTCCTGAGATGTCTTTCTGTAGCTTTAATGTTGATCAAGATAGGTCATTTTCTTGTATTTTTGTGTTGCTTGCTCTAACAAAGAACTACAGGGAGATAATAGTTATGTAGAGGGTCAACAGTACGCGATCGATCAGTGGATGTTCCAGCCGGATCAGTTCAAAGCACTGGGCGATGGCCTTTTTCTTACGACGAGCTGGCTGAAGATGGACCAGTACACCACTCCTTTTGATTACACAAACGCGGAGCTGAAAAAAGTTCTACAGGAAGCACAAGAGAAGATCAGGAACCACAGCGTCGAAACTGGTGACAAGACTGAAGCGATGAAGGACACGACTGCTGGTCCTGACGGATGCCCTGTGCAACGCTTGAAGCAATTTTATCAAAAAATCCGTTACTTCTTGGATACAGCTTCGGCAGACTTCCTAGCCACAACAGTTGGTGCGAACTTTCGCTTGGATCTTCTAGCCAACGAAAGCGAGACTGGTGGTAACGATACATTTCGCAAAGTAAAGTATGCGACCTCGACCAAGGTAATCCGCGACCCGCGCTTCGGCTTTGTGACGAAGGCTAGTGTCCCGCAGTTCCGCACGCTTCTCGCGGGAGTGGGCGACGTTCATGCGGCAACACCGCTTGGCAAAACCGCGCCACCTGTGAAAGTCCCGATGAAGACCTGGGTGAAGGCGTACAACAATTGGGTTCATAAGACGGTAAAGAAGCTTACGGACATTCAGGAAAAGGTGGACGCCGCGGTGTTGAAGGGGACTGAGCCGATGATGAGGCGTGATGGTGTCATTGCAGCAACTTCTACAGCTACAGGTGTAGTAAACCTTCAGGAAAGAACATTTCTCGGCAAACAACATGGTGGAAATTCTGTGGAACACCTGCATCAGGTGTGCGAAATTTCGCATCCTACAGAGGCTGAACTGCCCATGATTCCGGAAAAGATTTACACACACAAAAACCCATTCTCTGACGAGGAAACCAGAAAAAACGTTGAAACCGCTGCAAGAAAGTGGACGGAGCGCCTGGACACGTTGGAGAATTTAAAACTGGAGAAAGATGCACATGGCGTGACGTACATCAGCACAACCTGGTCTGATAAGAACCAGTACCAAACTGTACTGAAGGACAACCCGGAATTGAAACATCGACTCATGCGATTGCCGGAAGGCAGCACAACTGTGGAAGACGAAGAGACATTGGACCCGCGATTGACCGCAGACTATTGGTATGCTTCTAATCCACTGCGAAAAGGCGAGCACGACGCTAAGGTTAGCCCCTTTGCTCCATTCGGTCCGCATCAAGAGGAACTGAACATTGGGTCTCCTGAGAAGGCGAAGCCCTGCTGGATGGTCGAGTACAAGATGGTCACAAAGCGAGAGTACAACGACCTCCTGTTGGGAAAAGGAAAAGAGGGTGCCGCGAGCGGCGAAGAGATTGCGAACTTGTTCAATGGAGGAGATGAGGATGAGATGAAGTACAAGATTGAGGAACTGACCAGAGATAACTGGGGATCTTCAGGGGTTTCATCTGGATCTGCCAGCATCGCTGCACAGTACATTGGTCGCATGGTCGAGAATCGTGACACACCTTTTACACCAATGGAGCTGCCTCAATACGATGAGCAAGTTAAAAATATTAAGGGTACAGGTTAAAGGTGCTTTTCTTACCGCTTTTTATGCCTCTCTCCCCTAGGATGAGAAAGGCATAACAATCGGGTTAAGCGGGCACCAAAAACCTACCTCTAAAAATATGAGCGAAGGAGCCGGCGACAGGCTCGTTATCAACACAAATATGTACTTGGCGGGTGCCGATCGGGATGTGAAGTCGATAGGAGTATTAGCGAAGCCAAACCCACAGGAACTAGACCCTCTGAAGGGTACGCCTCGTGATTTTGAAACGGTAACGCTGGTTCCTTTCGTGGTGCGAATCTTTCGTGTGGTTGACGCCAAGGACTCGCGGCCGGTTTGCTTGGCGGATGCTGACAAGAATGTGCTAGATTTACGGCTTCCCCTAATTTTCCATCTTCGGAAGCATTCTGAAGCTGTCCCATAAGGGGAAAAACGCATCGGGATGCATCTCAAGATGGATAAGGGTGAGCTCTAGGCTCTAATAGAAGACTTGACAGCGTCGCCTGGCTTCGGCTCCTTGTTTAAGGCGCAAAAAGAGTTCTCAGAGGGGCAGCGGAAATCCATCCAAGTTTTTGCAGCACACGGAACTGGCGTCGAGAATATTCACGGCATCCTGAGAGAAGGCTTCAAGAAGGGCGGTAAGGCGCGGCCAATGCTGGGACACGGAGAGTTAAGAACAAAACGACAATCGAAGTCGAACTTGCTAATGTTGGATATCGAGGACGCTGTTGGGAACGAGATCGTGTATCTTAGACCTAGTTGGATGAACAAGAGCTTTGTTGGCCTTTATCTTTAAACGCGCTCAACCGATTCCAACAGGACCACAAATATTATTTTCCTGATATTACTTTGTCGTCTCTGGTAGTTATTTTCTAGAAGCAATCATAGATAATAATTTTGTATTGGTTTTCATACATCCAGATCCAACCTGGAACTTATCAAATTATAATTTGTTGAAGTACATCCACACTGATGCCCACCCTCAACCTCATCGCTCGACCCTAGGTTGCTTAGAGGCTGGTCATCTTTGAGAACTTCTATGTATTATTCCTCTTTAGAAGGTAATTGAAGCAGGGTACTATTAATATCACGGATCACACGCCGCATGGTAATTTTTTTTCTCCTAAGACACAAAAAAAGGCTGCAGCAATGGGAGTTCCAACCCGACCAGTTTCTGACTCTTGGTGCGGGTTTGTACCTCACGACTTCCTGGTCCAAAGTTGACCAGTATGCTGCGCCGTTCGATACGCAAAACAAGGATTTGACGAGCTTGCTCCTTGAGGCGAATAAAGCTGGCGCTGGCAGCTACGAGTGGACGGCCTTGAAAAAGTATCAACAGAAGGTGCGCTACATGCTGAACACAATTGCGGGTAATAGTAAGGCGCTCGATACACTAGCACACGCAGGCTACGTTGCACCGTCAGCGGAAGGAATTATGACCCTCACTAGATCTAGACATAATCGATTCTTGGCATGATTCTCGTGGACGTGTTTGATTGATTGTCAAGATTATTATCTATCATTTCTGTGCAACCCCAGAAGATTTATTACCTCAATCTTTGCAAATGTTAATGTCTCCACCACTCTTTTTACCTCGTTTCACTTGAATAATTCCACGACCGCTTCCTTAACTGAAGTAGATGACGTCGATTGACCTAAAACAAATGGTGAACATTACAAAAAGTAAGCATAGTCTTTTATAGATGTTGATGCTCATCAAGAAAAAAGAGAGAGCATAACCATAATCGAGTACATCTACATTATTAATGTCCAATTTCTTAGTGACTGTGACGATGATCGTTCTAAGAAGACAGAGTTTACTCGCGGAGTACAGTACAAGGCATCCACCAAGGCTGTGAGGGACTCACGGTTCGCGTTCGTGGCTGAAGCTGAACTCAGCAATCCTGTCTTCACATTGCTTGCTGGCGTGGGAGATCTCCATGGTAAGCGGGTTCCGATGGTAGTCTGGATGAAGGCGTATAACCAGTGGTTTGATAATAAAGTCAAAGAACTCACCAGCCGCATTGATGGTGAGCAGGCGGGGAAAGGGGCGAAGCTAGAAGATATAATAGAAGCTGGCCTTGCGGGAATCAATCTAGAAGAAAAAGATTCGCATCCTGATTGTGCATCCGCATCTGGTTCGGCTGTGTAAGTTGCTACAAGAAACCTCAAAAATGGTAGGAGAACGGACGATGTAGAAGGTGGTGGTACTGAGAAGATCTTTTCCAGGATGTAGCACTTCGAGGAGGTGGGTTGGACGTCTATGCACTTGGAGATTCTAGATCTAGTATAACAGGAATTTCTAGATCTAGTACAGCAGGGGATTGTAAACCTGGTATAACAGGCCACTTTAGACCTGGTATAACAGGGGACGACATTAGACCTGGTCTAACAGGGGACTTTAGACCTGGTCTAACAGGCGATTCTAGATCTAGTACACGGGTGCCCTTTTCGTACCCTAGGTCTAGCACAGGGGTGCCCTTTTTGTACTCGAGGTCTAGTAAAGGTGAGTTCGTGCCTCCCTGGTCGTTTGGAGAGAGGAACACCGAAATGGAGCCCATTTCTCTTTGTGATTCGTCTATTCTCACAACAAGAACAAAGAGTCACGCCATATACTTGCTCAAACGACTTCTACTGCAGTACCTAGACTGGCGTTCTTGCACTACCTAGTACGCAGACCTTGACAAATAATACAGAAGTCGTGTAGAAGATACTACGCAAGAGGAGGGTAAAGCTATGGTTCTTGTACTAAAACAAACTAGCCGCTTAGTCCTCTTGTCGATGACCATGTGCGGTCATTTGATAAGACGCGACGATGATGCACTTTGTTACGCCACGTCACATGTGATACTTTGTGGTCCATGTGATATTAGGAGGACGAGGATGGACATGAGGCGTTGTGGGTTCTGACACTACTATAGTTCTCTGTGTAGTGGTTGTTTCAGGTTCAGCAGGTGGATTAATGAACCAACTGAATCTTTTAACACTCTCGACGTGCTGCAAGTCGTGATTGAAGATTCATCTTTTTTTCGATTGATAATGATAAGAAATCAATCATTCCTTATGTACTACGATTTTCTCAACAACATTCCTTCTTCTACACTGACGAGATTCTTGTATTACTTCTCAGGTACTATTAGGTTGTTGTCGAAAATCGAATTGAATTAACTACAACATCAACAAAGGTGAAAAATCTTTCCTCGATGTTGTCAATAATGTTGTATACAACTACTTCTGCTAGGTTAATAAGATCTTTATCTTCCTAGGGTAAGCACGTACAGTAAGATCTTCATCTTACGAGGGTAAGCACATACTCAAGGACATCTCGGTACCTCTCGTGGGGTCGGTGCACATAGCATCCTGGCTCGATGGAGATCCCCTTGAAACCTTGATGAAACCTGGAGAACTATTTGAATACGTTTTGGAGCAATCGTGTCTGTGGTCGCATCGTCAAAGCGAAAAAAGAACGGGGGATGCTCGAAAAACGATGATCAGATGATGCGTCAGGTGATGAAGACAAAAAGTAGATGAGAAGAAGTAGACACAATTTTTAGGAGGGGCAAAAAATAGATGACTTAATAAATTGCACCAATGCACGAACAGTGGTTGTGGTGTAAGATATTATGAGCGTTTGCCTTACTTCTCATCGTTTGAATATCATGAGCAAAAATAACCTACTAGGTAGGTCGAGGAGGTCCTACTTTGTGGTAGAAAACAAACGTTCTGCATGAAGGTGCATCAGGGTGGAGGAACGTGCAAAATCAGAAGAATAACGTCTAAAATGAAGGATGCCCAAGACCTCTGTAATCAACCGCGCTGAAGATAAGATTGGACATCTTCAAGAACCAACATTGCCTAAGACGTAAGGAGCCTTAATCATTGCGTTGAGGCCCTTTCACATGGACAATATGAGTTTCTGCAGAGTGTCCTGGAGTTTTCATTGATTCTCCATGCACTGTCTGGGGGCTGGCATACTCGCCATTGATAGGCTCACTGGAATGGAATCAGAATCCGGCGTCAGTTTGGTCTGGTGATTCAAAAGACAGGCTCAGATGAGATAGGTTCATCAGATGTCCGTGAGCACACCTGGAATTGAAATTTATTCTTTCCCCTCTCATCTTCACGGAAGCCTCTCCCTCCATGTGAGTTGTAGAGAAGAATATCACAAGTTGTGTCGGGAAGGAGACCAACAAAACTTGAAGGTCCAGCTTCCTGATATTAGCAGATAAAATAACCAAACGAAAGTAAATGGTGCCATCTTCTACAAAACGAGGCTTCATGAGGACAGAAGTAGGAATGTGAGTACTTACTATTTTTACTTGGAGGTCAAAAAAAGGACGATGAATTGTCAATACCCAGATCCCAAATGCAAACGTAAGAAGAAAGTAACTAGCTCAGCGCTAGGATCTGGATAGCCACTACGATGATAACGATCAAGATCATACCACTACTAAGATCATGATCAAAACCATGCCACCACTAGGATCATGATCAAAACCATACCACCACTAGGATCATGATCAAGATCAACGTGATAGCTTTTATACTCCATGAATCATGGGCACAATAATGCCACTACTACTACTCCTAAAAATGCCACTACAAGTTAGTCTTAGTACTACAGGAAACGAAAAGAAAGCGTCTGGTGATTACCGGATTTTTGACTACTGATTTTTTGAAAAAGTTGTTTAATAGAACTGTGTTTGGTTGCTGGTTTCTGTAACAAACTGTTGTTTTAGAAGAAGACCACTACTGCCTCCGAATAATAGTACATAGGTTCGTCCTTTAATGTACTTCTTTGAAGAACAGTTGATATAGATATAATTTCTCACTACAAACGATTTGTCACAAACAGAAGATGGCTCGTTTTCTTTTCTCCCCCTCTCTGTTGGCGACTACAGGAGATCTGAAGATGGTTCGTTTCCTTCAGCGCTTCGTGTTGACAACAACACTTTCTGGCTACTTTTAAGGCTTCCACGACCACTTGAGTTTCTTCTTGTCCTCTGCGCAGGCGCTCCCACTCCTATCCTATCCTATTGTATCATCCTGAGAGCAGGTGAGTATCTTACGCTGACCCCTCGTAACATCAGCCCTTTTTTCAAGTGAACGAAGGTAGGAAAGGAACACGCCAAAGTAAGACGCGACTCTCTAGAAGATGCAAGGAGAACTTTTATTTAATTGTATTAGTGATCTTCTAGTTAGGCGTGCTCCGCCGGTTTTATTAATGATCTTCTAGTTCTAAGACTTCGCGTTTGCAGCTCCTGCAACTATCCAGGGTTATTTCCCTGCTGACCCTGGTTTCAATGCAAACACAGACTCTCGATTGAACCGAGGACCCGGACAGCCTCCGCGTAAAACTTTTCAGTCTTTCGCGGATGAGACATTCCTATTTGATCCTCACCCAAAACCAGAAGCAGAACGAGAAGAATTTCGGAGCAAATTTGAGAACGCAATTCGAAGTTTATTAAGGCCTCGTTATACTATACGACTATTTGATAAAAAATTTACAGTTTTCAAGGATGATCGCGAAGGCAAGGCGCCCTATCCTATCCTTTCTTATCCTATTGCAGCTATAAATGTGAAAGATCAGAAGTTACGTGGATACAAGTGTTTATATATTGACTAGGTCTTCTTCAAATTCTATATTAATATTAGTACTTATAGGCCTACCAACTAGTCTGAATTTCTTAAGAGCGCTTCCTTAAGGGAACGAACACCTTTAAGGATTTTCTATTACAGAAAGTTAAATAGTAGCTTTTCTTTAAAGGACAGAAAAACTCTTAAAGAGATCCCGTAAGGCGGCTCTGTTATAATCTTGGTTGAATAGTAAGACCTTCCTTAAAGGCCCTCCCTTAAGGGCCCCGCGCCTTAGCTAACTTGCTGGCTTACCGCTTGCGCGTACGTAGCTAGCTGCCTAGGTTTGCCGTAGCTAACCTGCTAGGTGTTTAGCCATGGCTAGCCTCCTAAGTGCTTTGCCAAAGCTAGCCTGCTAGCTGCTTGGCTATAGCGAGCTAGCCTGCTAGCAAGCTTACCCCTTGCCCGTAGCTAGCCTGCTAGAAGGTTCGCCATACATAGCGAGGCCGCTAGCTGCTTGCGTCCATGCATAGTTAGGTAGCGGATTGGCCATAGCTAGCTTGCTGGCTGCTTTTTAGGCATACCTAGCCGGTTAGCTGCTGCGCCGTAGCTATCGAGCTTACCACCCCGCTAGCTGCTCGCCCTTATCTAGCTGGTTGGCTAGGCAAGCTAGGTCCTTGCCCATAGCAGGACTGCTAGCTGCTTGGCGAAATCTCGCTCAGCAGCCGCTTCGCCATCGCCAGCCTTTGTACTTTGCCGCGTCCCGCGAGCTTGCTAGCTAGCTTGGCCATGGCCGCCGTGCTCTTATCATATCTGTCTAGTTGCTGCCGACCTATGCCCAGTGCAGCGGGCCCTTGATGGGCCCGCTTTCTGGGCATGTACTTATACAGTTAAGCAAGTTCTACGATCTCCTTAAGAGTGGGTCCTTCAGGACAGCTCTTTGAGGAAGCTCCTTAAGGGAGCTCCTTAAAGGTGTGCCACTCTTAAGGAGCTCCCTGAAGGCTAAGGGCCCTCCTCTTAATAAAGTTGGCTACTATAGGTCCTTCCTTAGGGAAGTGCATACTTTTCAAATACTTCAACGAAATGGTGCTAGCTTTCCAGGGCTTCGGAGCTAGCTGACTTAACGAACCTTAAGCCCCTTAGTTAGCTGGCCGACCGTAGCCTCTAAGCTAGCGGCCCAAAGCTTCTAGGCTTGGCCATGGCAGGCCTCCAGGCTAGCTGGTGCCGGCTTCTAAGCTAGCGCTAGCAAGCCAAAGCCATGGCACCCATAGGCCCCTAAGAAGGTAGGCTAGCAAGTTGCCCAAGCCAAAGTTTCTGAACCAACTAGCTGGCCAACGCTTGCGAGCTACAGCTAGCTGCCCAAAGCTTCGGAGCTTAGTTAGCTGCCCCTGGCTTCTGAGCTAGGTGGCCACTTTTTTCGCTCTGAGCTAGCCTAGGTGGCCATTGCTTCTGAGCTAGCTGGCCAGAGCTTCTGAGCTAGCTGCCCAGAGCTTCTGAGCTAGCTGGCCAGAGCTTCTGAGCTAGCTGGCCAGGCAGGGCTTCTGAGCTAGCTGATCAGAGCTTCCGAGCTAGCTGCTCAAAGCTCGCGAGCTAGCTGCCTAAAGCTTCGGAGTTAGCTGGCCATGGCTTTCGAGCTAGCTGGCCAAGGCTTCTGAGCTAGCTGGCCAAGGCTTCGGAGCTCGCTGGCCATCGCATCCATGGGCGCCGGCTTCTCTCTAATTAAGCTAGCCAGCCCGGCTGGCCTTCTAATCTATAGCTTCTGAGTGAGCTAGCGAGCTGTGGGCCTTAAGCTCACAACTGCCGATGGCTTCGCTCTTGGCTACCAGCTATGGCTCCCAGCCTAGGAATCTAGGGGCTGCTCTAAGCTAGCTGGCTGCGGCGTTTGAGCTAGTTGGTTAGGGCTTCTAAGCCAGGTGGCCCCAGCTTCTAAGCTCTCTTGCTATGCCTTCCAAGCTAACTGGCTAGGGCTTCCGGGCTAGCTAGCTAGCTAGCTAGGGCTTCTGCTCTAAGCTTGCTGGCTGCCTATCTATGGGCCGCGTGACTGACATGCGCAGGCGTTTCTTGTGGTGTTCTTATCTGTCTACTTTTCACCCTTGGGCGCCGGCGGGCCCGTTTACGGGGCACGTTTCTACATCGTAAGAAGAACTAACTAAAACTAACAACTAGGTCTTCTAGGTAATCTTCTAACATGCGGCGGATCTGAAGGAACTCTGAGTAAGAGTGAGTTGGAAAGGAGCCCACATTCCGCAATTCCGACGGCGCATGGTCCCTCGACAGTAATCGTCCTTGCCGAATCTGTTCAACAATTTGGTGGCCTCGGAAGGTTAAGGCGATGATATGGTGAAGACCAACTGGATTGGGTGGCTGTAGTGCTCACTTTTTTGTGTAAAATAAGTTATCTTTATTTTTCCAGACTAAATTAATAGAGGATCGCCATCGCCTATCTAATAGATCTTACTGTTAATGACAGAAACGACATGCTTGCGCAAAAGGAGATGATACTCGCAGGAGGGTGGACCGGCGACGATTTCAAGAAGGAAAATTTTCCGGACAATCCACCCACCATTGCGAAGGTGCACGTGTTTCACCCGGGACACCCTGCTCAGCAGACCACCGAAAATGAGCCCTTCGGCAGATTGCATCCCTTGGTGACGTTGAAGAGCCCTCTGGAAAAAACCCCAGGGAAGGTCAACGCTTATGAGAGAAACAAAGCCGCGTACAACACTCCCGATTTTCCTCTCGGTTGGACCAAGATTGCAGCTACTGGGTTTTTTGAGGAATCAGGAACGGCAGATGGAATCATGTCAGGTGGAGGAATCTCAGGTGGAATCATGTCAGGAAACGGTGCTAGCCCTAGCATTTCGCTGGAAAATGCCCAAAAAGATCTCAGGAACTTTTTGGGCGATGTTTTACCAAGTCCGCCACAGCGCCAGAGGTATCTTCGAGAAGGTCAAGTGAGTGCCTACCGCACAGCTTTAGAGGAGTGGCAGAAAAAGGCGGAAGCGTATATGAAGAACGAAAAGGACAAGCAAAGCCGAAACTACGCTGGTATTAAGGGTTGAAGCATTTCATTTTTACATGCCCTCCTCCCTTGGCATTGGTATCCAGAAATGACATGTTTCAACCTTCATCGGTATTTCCGTCGTGAAGCGGTTGTTAGCAACCGTCTTGCGTGCTTTCCCAGGTCGTGACAGCCAAGGCCGTGCAAAGAACACTTACGTTTTTTATGGATGATGTTTTTTCTCCCATTTTTTTAATAGACCATCTAGGCTGCTGCATCTTGATCTTTCCCACTTTAAACTGTACAAGTAGGTTAAGCAGGAGGGCCTCGAACTCGATGGTCTCTCTAGACGGAATAGACGCCATTCATATTTTTTCCCGGGTTTTCGTACCACGTCCGGATGAAAAATTGATGCGACAAGGAACCAGTGGACAGGGAGACACTGAGAAGGCGTTCCAGATGGTCGAGGAGGAAGTTTTGGGCGACTACTGGGAACGACAGTTCTTGGAGATCCGCAAGATGTCGATCGAAATGTTAAGACAGTCACTTCTATGTAAATGTAAATGTCTATGCTCCTACACAGCTAGACACTCCTGCTCCTTCAAAAATGAGAAATGTTAACACAAGAATGCTAGAGCTAGACAATCACTTCTATCTTAATTGTTCACATGCGTCACTCTCAGACGGTGCTTCTCTGTCAGCGAAGACGGAGACTCTCTTCAGTTCCTCGCGTACGTGTACGTAAAGACGTAACTACTGATAGTACTGTGCTGAGTTGTAAATTTCCCCTTGTAGACATAGACTCACTTGTAGCTCCTGACTCGCGGACCTACGTGTAGTAACCTATCGACTGTGCTGAGTTGTAAATTTCATGCACTGATGAAGGGGAAGTAGAAATAGAATATGTACAATGTACTCATATTATAGTGTTCGTGATTGACTCCCGGCGCTAAAAGTGGCAGCAGTTCAGGCGGACGTCGCTCAGCATGCGTCGCCGTCTTCTGTTCTTAAGGCTTTTTCTAACTAACTTCTAGAGAATCAGAAGTCATCCTACCTAGGAGCATCTTGAGAGAAGTGATCCGCGTCGTGCAGGTCCATCATCACTACAGATGAAGTCAGAGACGCTCTTAGAAGAGACGCTCCTAGGAGAGATGCTTTCCAAGGGAAAACGGTCTCAGATGAATGTAGGGCTTCGAGATGATAGATTAGTTTGACCTCTACTAATTCTGGTGGCAATCGTCCTGGTGACGAACAGGATGCTGACGTCGCAGGTGATTCTGAGCTTCCCACTTGGCCTACCTCGGACCTTCATGGATTGGTTACCGTCAAATTTGACGCTGAGGTGATCGCGATGTGTCTCATTTCGAATGAAATTAGAGGAAAACGGTACTACGGTTGGACGGGTTGTCAACGTCTTTTCGCAGTATTCGAAGTAGAGGATCACGAAGCTTTGGCCTCAATGTGGGACAACACCACGCCGGAGATGGGCTTTCGACCTCTTCTGTTGGACATCTTCTACCCGCGCTTGTTGGGAGATCCCACGGTTCCTGAGGAGTTGTACGATACAGGTATGCGCTCGCGCCGTTTACAACGTACCTTGTTTTACGAGTTCGTGCGAAAGTTGGCATTTAAAGCTGTTGCCAACAAAGACGGCTACAAACGGAACGACGAATGGAAGGAAACTTTGGTGAGCAAGTTGGGAGAAAACAGCTTGCCAGCGAAGAGAGACCCCAATGATAAACTGACTGGTGGCTATTTTGGCCCTCGTATGCAAAAAGCGGTGTTACCGTATCTGGATCAAAACCCTGCTGGTATGGCTGACGTTTTGGGTGACATCGTGCTTCGTGATGTCGATCCTCATGGTGTTGTAGCTTCGGAAGGAGAGGAAGAACATTTTCGTGCCGACGCTCCACCGACAGGCGGCGCTCCAGCAGCAGCAGCAGCAGCAGCAGCAGATGAACACGCCGTCCGTGGACGTACGTGTCAGTGTTGCGCAAAACTGAAAAAGTGGTGTCAGCGTCCTCCGTCCCAGTCGTCGCCGAGTCGTCCCCCGACTCCGACTCCGATCAGCGTACGTTCAGCCTTAAAAAGCTTGGCGCCATTAATGCGCGCCCACGTTTTTCATCCTGGGCCTAGTGTCGCGGAGCCGAAAGTTCATGGCGTTATTGCCCGACTCGTTCCGTCGCGAAGTCTAGGCGTTGGTGCACCGGAGGAAGACTTGAGTAACGCTGCTGGTCGGATTCCGGTCCCTGATGGGCTCAAAACTTTAGCCGTGTTTCCGGAGGACATAGCTAAACTGCAAGTGCCGAGCCCTGAGTCAGATGGAAGGGCCGCGACCTTTCAAGAAAAACTCGAGAGCTGGTTAGAGGCCAATGGAGTGCTTGATGACGTCAACAGCAAGACAATCTTGGTCCATGGTGAGACCCTCTACGAGAAGAAGCTTGAAGCAGATCTAAGAGGTCAACAGGCTCACGAAACAAAGCGCGTTGTGGCGCGTTTTCTAGGCAAGGTTTATCAAGTCGCAAAGCCTGTTGGTGAGCAAGGCCACGAGCTTGCTAGTAAAATTTAAGGCTCTAGTACTACTAGTATCTAATCCATCTTCTCCAGAAGCATCTTCTATCTTGGGACCTTTCTTTTCTTCTAAGGGAAGAGCAAGGGACCTTCCTTCCTCTATTAATAAGAGAAAAGCACAAGCCCAGCAGGAAGAAGAAGAGGATGTCTTTCAAGTAGATGGATTTTTCCGGGAGAAAGAGAAACCTTCTAAGAGATCTTGGAGCACTACAAAAAGGTGACAAGTCGATACTTTGTGCCCGAGTCGAATGTGTACGGAGTGATCAACGCGCGTGCGAAGGGACAACCGAGCCCGGAGTCAATGATGGCGCTTGTGGGATTCAACTTCGACGTTTACTACAAAATCCTGCGAAAGATGAAGTCTTCTACGACCTCTGACTCTCCTGCTAACGGCGTCTACCCGTGGATAATCCCTGCCGCTCCTCCTGCATCCTCTATAGTCCGCCAGCGGCTCATCGATGAATATGTGGCGCACGTGCGTGATCTTACTGATGACGATACAACGCTGCTTTAAGAACAAGGATAAAGAAGGATCGGAATTCTTCTAGACTTTTAAGTGCTTCTTTTTGAAGGAGAAAAAAAGGCCAGGAGAGTTCTTAATGTAGGATTTCTGATCGATGTTTTTATTAACGATCGCTCTACTACTACTAAGCTTGATGGTTGGTAGTTTCTAACATCTGAGGAGGATCAGGGAACAAGTGGCGACGCCTCCAGAAGAGACCGTGTCCGACCGCTTCGATTGGTTCGCTTTTGACAAAGAGCTAAAGAAAAATTCTGGATCTGCAGGTCCAGCTCCGCAGTCGTCCCTATCTTCCGCATTCCCTTCATAAGGCTGGTGCTCACAGAAATTTATCTAACTGTTCGTTGCACAGAAAGAAAAGTGAAGAAAGAGGAAAAGTAGGAGGAACTGAATACACGCTCTCTAATTAAATATTTTCTAACCCACGAGTGGGGGCACTACTACAACTACTACGCATGTAATTCTAGTTCATTGATTTCCACATGATACTTCTTCCCCAGATAATTTCTTGTAAATAATGTGAAGAATTCATCATCTGAGAAGTAGTGAGTAAGTATATATATGTTCCAGGGCTCAGGGCGGGAGGCCCCCCCCCCCCCCCCCCCCCCCCTTCGAGGGGCTGCCGGGGGGGAAGGCCTCAAAACGCCCACTTCTGACCCCTTCCCGCTTCTTGCAGGGGTCCAGCCTTGCCACCTTATTGGCCAGGCCTGTCGAGGGGCTGCCGGGGGGGAAGGCCTCAAAGCGCCCACTTCTGACCCCTTCCCGCTTC